AGAGGAGGGGAGCGCGCCAGGCAGGACTGCTGTGCACAGGAGCAAAGAATTTTCAGTGATACCAGAGGCTCGCCCTGATGACAGTGACAGGCCCCCCACCCCGCCTTGGTCTGGTGCCCCTGCTCACCTGCTCCACATCCCCTCATGGCCAATGCCTGCCATGTTCTGCGCTCTGCCCCTGCTGCCAATGCCCATCATGTTCTGTGCACGCCCCCTGGTGGTCAGCAATGTCATAGTGACCGGTTGTTCAGTTGTTTGGTTCTGCTGTTCGGTCCATTTTCATATTAGGGTTTTATATAGAGAGAGTAGAGGCCTGATGCACAAAATTTGTGCAAGGGGCTTGGTCCCTGCCACCATGGCAGCTGCCTCTGCCTCAGCCTGCCACCCTGGCTACGGTACATGCCCTTGACTGGAATCGAACCTGGGACCCTTCAGTCCGCAGGCCGATGCTCTATCCACTGAGCTAAACCAGTCAGGGCATGAATTTCTTTATATAGCTACTAAGCTTTATTTTTCCTGGTTATATTGAAATATAATTGACATACATCTCTATTTAAATTTCAGGTGACCAGCTTAGCATATTACATTTTTATTATTATAGATTGTGAAATGATGATTGCAAAAAGATTAGTTAGCATCCATCATCCAGTATAGATACAATGAAAAGAAAAAAAATTTAAACATAGAATATTAATAGAAGAATAAGGAAAAGGGGCACTCCCAGGCATTACAGCAGAATGTGTTGGTACAACTCTGTGTAGAGTATTTAATAGGAAGCAGGAAAATCCTAAAGAAATGTTTACCCTGAGAATTGTTCTAAAGAAATAGAGATCCACACAGAAAGATATTTGGTGGGGAAAAATTACTTCACCATCATTTTCTTTAGCTTCTGATGGAAATAGATACATGCATTGGGATTTGTATGTATATGTGTGTGTTTAAATGTAAATTCATTGAAAAAAAACCTGAAAATACATGCATCAAATTGTCAGTGGTTTTTATCGCTGCTTAGTGAAATTGCAATTTTTTTTCTTGTTTTCCAGATTTTCTATAATAGGTGTCATCTTTATCATTAGAATAAATTATATTTCAAAAGAAAGTCATGCAGACAAATACAGTTTTTTGTTCAAGCAATCACAAAAAGCACTTGTATTTAATTATATTTAACATATTTCTGTATTACAATTTCTGGTTTGTTTGAAGGCAAGTATGTTCAAAAGGAAATCCCATTTTTCCTGGAATATCAGTCTAAGCTTCCTTCTTGGCCTTACACACAGCCCTTAGCCAACATGTGCAAGTTTCTCCAAGTTAATTGCATGAGACTTAAACTGGAGACTTCTAAATACATTCCAACAATGCTGAGAATATGGTTGCCTAGTATTACAATATAAAACATTTCCAGAACTCTGACTTCTAGCTGCAAAAATATTTGAACCAGATGAATTTCTGAAAATGCTGCCTTTGCTTAACTTTAATCTTGCTAAGGAGAGTTTTCTGCCCCATCTCCCCCGCTCCCTTTTTTTAAAACACCAGATCTCTCTAATTCCACCTCCTTGTTCCACTGAGCAGATGTGGGAAAAGTAGGCAGAGACATGAAGGCATCAAGGTCAACGACAGGTAAGGAGACCCAGAGTCCCAAAGGAGAATTCCCAGAGAAAGAATCTGGGCTAGTGACCCATATCATCCTCTAGTTGGCCTTCTCCTGGCATTTGAATGGAGGACAGTGCTTCATGTTTTGTTCACGTTAACACAAATATGCTACCAGAAGACCTCACGTGTGAGAATTGAAGGCACTGTGAGAGGCTCGGCAGGGAGAGACATTTAAGCCAATGGGGCCTCTCACATTAATCATCTAAGTTAAGTGAGCTCTTGTTTAGAAGTTTGATAACCAAGTGGTAGTAAAAATCACTTTGCAATTAGAGTGAACTCTCCACCCTACCTCACATGGTGGCTATGGGCACGTTGCATAGCCACCATGATTCTCAGTTCCATCAACCATAAAAGAAAGGGGATAAATTATATCTGATGCTTAATTTGGAGTCCGGCAATGGGCATCAAAGGGTTCAAGGACATGGAAATTATAAACAAAATTATATACATTTTTGTTGAGGAAAGATCCATAGCTTTCATCAGGTTCTTAATTATGATTCCAAGGAAATGATGACCCCCTGAATTATATAATGTTTAAATATCAGTCAACGTTAATATTCTTTGATTCTCCATTTATGCATATTTTGGATAGTGTTTTTTTTTTACCTTATTAAAAGATTTTATTTTATACCATATTAGGTTTACTCAAACTTCAAGTTGTTAAGGTCAGACTCCCAGGTGAAGTAAATATCATTATTTCCTTTCTCATTTACAAGGAGTTTTGCTACAGCAAGGATTTGGGTATGTAAATATGCACAAGAGCTACAAAATGCAGAAAACTTAGTAAAGTAGTTAATCATCTAGTGCAGTGATTTTCAACTTTTTCCATCTCATGGCACCTGTAAACTAATTACTAAAATTCTGCGGCACACCAAAAAATATATTTTTTGTCCATCTGACAAAACAGGTATAATTTTGATTCATTCACACCAGATGGCTATTGTTGTGTTGACTGTTGTCATTTTTTTATTTGACAATCTATAGGAAAAGAGGTCAGTGTCCCTGACTAAATAGTCAGGAATTGCATGTTTTAAAATTCTTGTAGCACACCAGTGTGCCTGCCACGCACACTGGTTGAAAATCACCGATCTAGTATATATGATGTCAATGATGGAAATCTTGCCATTATGTGAAATTTGAAACAATTTACTAGTCTAGTTGATCTAATTAAAATATCTTAAAATGAATATATGTTAAGATTGATTTTTCACAGTGTTATTACTATATGATCCTGATACTGACTTTGTTTTTAAAGAGTAGGTAGAAAAGAAATTGGGAGAAGTCATAGAACTATAATTCCAAGACCCCCAACCCCATCCTATCTAATAAAAGACAAAAATGGTAATTGGCGTACGACCAATACCCTTTTCATTGGCTAATTAGGGCTATATGCAAATTATCTGCCAACTAAGATTGGCAGTTAACTGCCAACTAAGAATGGCAGTTAACTGCCAACAAGATGGCGGTTAATTTGCATATGTAGGCACAATGCAGGGTGGTGAAAGGGAAAGCAGGAAGAAGCCCCCTGCCACTGACAGTGATCAGAAACCCAGGGGGGAGCTAAGAGCTGGGGGGCTGCCCCCCAGCCATGATCGGAGAAT